AATAAAACCTCCGTTGAGAAACACTGTACTAGGAAGTATGCAAATCTGGGAGCAGAGCTGAATTGCTCAGAAAAACAAAGAGGAAACTGAGAGCTGACATTGGAGGACTCCCATCTCCACCTACTCCCTATGCAGATCTCCACCTCACCTGTAAATAAATGTTGGGTGCATGCTTTTAAAAATATTGGCTTAAAGAAAATTTTAAAATATGTATTGGTTTAAAAAGGAGTCAAATTGTTAGCCCAAGCAGCACCTACTATCTCCTGACTCTGCTTCCCTGCATCCAGGATTTATCTCACTGTAAAGGAATTATCTGAGGACTTGTCTGAACCCTTAACTTCAGTTCAGGGACCATGCCCTATTGTATTACCAGAACCTAATATAGTTTGGCACATAATATATGCTCAATAAATATTTCTGAACTATGACTCATTAAATTTAAAACTTAGCCCTGAAATCTTTTCCAACTGTCAACCCTACATATTTATCATTAATTTTATGTTTCCAGTTGAATACATCAAATATAACAGGTACAAAAGAGAATCATCTACTTCAATCCAGTGCTAAAACCATCCCCAAAAGAATTCCAGTTCCTTTTATTATGGCAATTGTTATCACCTTTTTGGGATCCTCCAATTATGTATGCCAGAAGCCTACATGGCACCCATGTCTCTGCCTGCTTCTTCAAACCTGTTAATCCCATCTTCCAATTACCTCCTTGGTTCTTTTCCCTTCTTTCCTTCCTCCGCTTCTCTGGCCTTAATTCAGGGAGATATATCTATATCTATCTATATCTATATCTATATCTATATATCTATATCTATATCTATATCTATATCTATATCTATATCTATATCTATATCTATATCTATATCTATATCTACACACATATACATATATATACCTGGTGCACAAATTCATGCATGGGTGGGGTCCCTCGGCCTGGCCGGCGATCTGGGCTGATTGGGGCTGTCTCGCCCAGTCCCTATTGGGGTGATCAGGGCCACTCAGTCGGGGGGTGGGAGAGAAGAGCCGATCGGGGCTGTTGGCTGGGGGGGATGCTCCACGAGGTTGGCTGTGGGAGTGCACTGACCACCAGGGGCAGCTCCTGCACTGAGCATCTGCTCCCTGGTGGTCAGTGCACGTCATAGTGACCAGTCGACCATTTGGTTGTTTGGTCGCTTAAACTTTTATATATATAGACTAGAGGCCCGGTGCACGAATTTGTGCATGGGTGGGATCCGGCCGGCCAGCCCCAATGGGGGCTGATCAGGGCCGGGCTGATAGGTCCTGCCTCCGATCAGGATGGGGGGTGGTCAGGGATGGGGCTGGCCAAGGGGAGGGGACGCGGGAGGTTGGGGGGGCCAGTTGGCCACCGCAGTGCACATCATAGCAACTGGTTGTTCCAGTTGTTCCATTGTTCCAGTCGCTTGGCTTTTATATATATAGATTGTTACATTTGCTTTCTAAACCATATCTCCATCCCCATCCCTACCTGCCCTTAAAACTTTCTAAAATATTCAAAATAATAGTAATTAATACTTTGTGGGTTTACTGTGGTGCCAGGCACTACTGCCTTTTGCGTGTATTTTCTTTTTGACTCTTTGTAACAGCCTCAGTTTGAGATAATTTCCCAAGGTCATTCAGTAAAGCTACAGAGACAAGAGTTAAACACAGGTAGCCTGGCTCAGAGCTATGCTGGCTAGGCTGTATAATCTCCTGGAAGCTTCTGCCATATTGTTTCACATACATGTCCGTGTCTGATTCTCCGCCCCTGCTGGATGCCCTGGCTGTTGTGCGTCCCTTTTGAGCTAGGGCTTGCTCAGGATTCCTTTCCCAGAGCTGTTGGTGTACTGCAAGTGAGTGGTGGTTTTGTTGTATGTGAGTGGTGGCTATGAAACGGGGAGTTGGCGCGGAGACAAAGGAATCCTTAAGCCACATATCTGAGAGGTAAGTTAGCTGAAGAGTGGTTTGGAAATGTAGGCAACGAACTACTACTGCCCGTTTTAGCCTTTATGTGCTCCCTACTGGGCGATGCTGATAGGAGTGGGCGCTTTAAGGGGCTGCAGCTAAGTGGCCAGCCTGGAGGATAGTGCCTCCTCCTCATTTGTCTGGACAACTGCAATGCGTTCTTCAACCTTTAGCTTTAGCAGCATTCCTAGGTCTTCCTGCTGACATTAATGTCCCTCCTCTGTGCTGCGAACAGTTTTGTGAGACTGCAAACTCCTTGAGGCAAGGACCGTGGCTTTTCTTCTCTGAATTCTATACCACTTAGCATAAGAGAATTTCTAAAAGGTATACTATGAAGCAGCGTATAGACTAGTGGCTAAAAGTCTGGCCTTCATGTCATTCGGCTTCTGTTCAGATTTCAGTTTTCTGTTTTACCTTGAGCAGCTTAATCTGCCTGTGTCTGAAAACAAAATGCAGATCATAGGACTTACATCATCAAGTTGTTATGAGAATTAAATAATACATGGAAAGTAATTGACTCAAGTCCTGGCACTTTGTAAGCACTTGGTATGTTAGATCTCATTATTTTTCTATTATTATTATTATGATAATTCACTAGCACTATCTTATAATGAGGCAAATTACTTTGGAAGCAGTGGGCTCCCTTTTACTGCAGATACAGTAAGTCCTTAGGTACTTAATATGTTCCTAGGTTCTTGGAACTGTGGTGAAATGACATATAATGAAACCAGTTTTCCCACAGGCTAATTGAAATAAAGAAGAGTTAAGTTCCTACAGCATCTCATCAACGTCATAACAAAATGATGTGGAATGAGTCCATGGACCTGCTGCATCCAAACAGCGGTAAACCCAGGAGAGATGCTGTGAAGTAGTTTTTATTTGAAAGGATTAGATGATTTCTAAGGATGCTTCCAATCATAGAAGAGGGAAGCTATTTCTCTGACTTAAAGAAAGTGTGATCATTAGTGTTACTTCTAGTAAAGTGAGTGTTAGACTAGAATAAAAAAGACATCGGATATGGTTGTATGTACACAATACAAAGAACGTAATATTTTACTCTTTGTGAGCAGTTAATTGCACAAACCCTTTTATTTATGTTGAAACCCATATGGCAAATCAGGCCCTTACATGGAAATCCATCTCTTTTCAAGAGGACTAGGTTGGCCCTGCCAAAAAGGAACAAACAAAACTTTAAAGACTGTCCCAGCCCTACTGAAATGTCTTTCCCTTTGAAAGAAGTCTATTAGTGATGCAAATGCAAAGTTATCTGCACAGATGATAATCCTCGCAAACAAAACAGTGAAACCATTAGAACGGGTCTTGTGCCGCATTCAGTCCTGAGAATCCTGAGAATTTGGCATTCCAGCTTTCAAAAGGCAGAGAAAGAGAGCACAACTGGTTCCTGTTTGGGATAGTTTGTTAGATCTGCTTACCTGAATCCTGGGCTGATTATCCTGTTTAAAGAGGCCAAACAATTCTCCAAATATGGACAGGCAGAAGGAAGGCCTGCACTCTGTGCCCCCAGCAAGTGCCTTAAACAGGCAAAAGCAGGATCCTTGGCCACGGAATAACATCTAGTCAGCAGGTTTAAGGTAGATCCATCTAGAAGAAATCCAATTATAAGTATTCATTGGGGAGCAATTCAAGTATTATGCTCATAATGCTGATACTTTAATCTATGTAAAAATTAGACAATTGAAAGGCTACTTGTATCATTGAATATGGTCATGTTCCAACATCTTTTCCTCCATAGATACTCAGAGTAAACTTCTTTGGGAATTTGGCAAATATGCAGTCTTACTATAGGAAAAAGGATTGAAAAGATAAAAAATGTATGAAGTTAACCTTAAGTAGAATGCTTGGCTATTGTTTGATTATATTCATTCTATCCCTAACAGGTTTGATGAGATCTCCTTTCTCAGGAGCCAGTAGGCATTAGGGAATATTAGTGGTCAGAAGGTGTGGTGCTTAAAGGTATTAGGAAAGCATTTCTGAAGTAACACTCCAAAGTGGCAGTGCCTAGGTGGCCATCACCGACTTGATTAAACCTTTTGGAAATGCCTACTGGGCAATTTATCGAGAACAGAAAATTAACCCTCCATACCTACATGATTTCTTGGGCAGCACTGGTGTCCACATAGACTGGATGTAATGCTGGAAATCTGGGTCTTGAGCAGGGTGGGGCCTTGGGCAGGTGAAGAGCTTCCAGATCGTCACGTGTTTACACTGCAGGTGCAGGAATGGGACTTGTCCACGCTCCACCCTCCGCCGCCTCTTTGCGAGGTTGCTTGACAGCTTGCACAGTACCCGCCCAGAGTCTGATAATCCAGTCGTCTCTGGTGAGGAGGTCAATCACTGCTTCAGTGCTGCGCTCTGCCTGCCTCCCACGCCCTCTACGCCGGCTGCTGGAGGCCGCTCTGTGTGTTCTTGCTCCTCGAGGTTCCCATGCCCTGCCCACTCCACACGCCTCCCGGCTTGCCCTCTTGGCCTGTCCTCTTTTGCATCCTGGCAGGCCAACACCAAGGGCCGGAGGGGTCGGGTATCGGGGCAAGCACTGCTCGCTTTTGTTTCAGGGGCTTTGCTCAGGGAAACCCTTCCCCACAGTGCCAGTAAGTCTGTGGTACTTGGCTGTGTCCTCTGTGTACCTGCTTCTAAAGTTTGGGACATTGTCTGTCTTGCAAACTAAAGCTATTCCACCGGTTTAGCATTGGGACCTGACCCAGCAACGTAAAACATCGTCAACAAGGGAATCAATCAGACATGGGTAGGAGCTACTCTCCGCCGGTCCTGCCCGCGGTCCCCGGGGCAGGCAACCCTTTCCTGGCATCGGACCCCTGCAGCCCGGCACACTCCCGCACCCGGGCCAGCCGCGGCCACTGAAAGGGCGAAGCTCGGCCGCCCGCACCGCCGGGCAGGCGCGAGGAGCCGGAGCGCGCAGAGCCGGGCAGGCGCGCGGAGCCGGAGCGCGCACGGGCCTGGAGCGCGCGGGGCAGGGAGCGCTCCCTCCGGGATCGCGGCTGCGCAGTCGGGCGGGCGCCGGGAAAAGGGGAGGAGGGTGGAGGAGCCGGAGTAAGGGGAGGGGGAGGAGCGGCCAAGGCGGAAGCCATGTTGGTGCTTCACCCGGAGCGAGGGGCTGCGAGCGTTCTCCTCTCCCCGTGGGTGTGACCGGGGTTCGGCGCGGCGCGGCTGCGAGGGGCGGGGACGGTTAGCCCGGTCGTCGCCGTCGTTGGCGGCGGCGGCGCGAGGGGAGCGGCGGCCGCAGCGTGGAGCCGGGCGATTGTGACCTCCGGGGGAGCAGGGGTCCCGCCGCGGCTCCCACTCTCCGTGTGGCCCCCTGAGCGCCCCCCCTCCCCGGCCCGGGAGGGAGGCGGGGGGCACCCGGGCCCGCCATGAACCCCGGCTTCGATCTGTCCCGCCGGAACCCGCAGGAGGACTTCGAGCTGATTCAGCGCATCGGTAGCGGCACCTACGGCGACGTCTACAAGGTAAAGGCGCGCCGCCGGGGACCGGGGTCCCGACCCGCCGCGGGGAGGCGGGGGAGGGAGGGGGCGCGGCGGAGCCCGGGCGGCGGGAGGCGCTGGCGCCCGGGGCTGCGGGGGAGGAGGCGGAGCGGGTGCCCGGGGCTCCGCTGCCCGGGAGCGAACAAAGGGCCGAATGTTTAACCCCGAGACCTCCCAGTGCGTACCTGCGCCCTGCCCTGCCCTGCCCTGCACGCGCGCTCCCGGAGGGCTGAGCGGCGCGGGGCGCGGGGCGCGGGGCGCGGGCAGCGGGGGGCTCTGCGCCTCGCCGCGCGGAGGGGCCGGGCGTCTGGTGCGCGGCGGGGTCGGTGCGGCGAGCCAGACCGCAGGGCTTTGGCGTCTGTCAAAGCTGCGCGCTTCCGACGGACCTGGCCGGCCCGCTGTCCACCCACCAGGCCCCGGTGTGGCTATCACGCTGGGCAGCTAACACCGACAGCCCCTCAGTGTTTAGCCTTTGAGCATCGGCATACCAGTTCTTTTTTTTTTTTTTCTAAGTAACGCCTTTCTTTTGTAAAAGCGATCTAGTTAGCATGATTTTATTTTATTTTTATTTTTAGGAAAGAGAAACTTTTCTCCAAGTCCAACTGGACTTTGATGCCGTATTAAAATTGTGTTGTTTTTTTCCAGTGACCCATAGGTCACTGGGGAAAAAAAACACAACACCTGAATTAAATACTTCGGCAAGGTACTGGTTTGATGAGGTTAGAATTCAAAGCCCGTGAGTAGTACAGCATTGCTGTTGTAGAGGGACCGCTTCTAAATGGGGGAGACAAATCACTCTTCCCTGGCCAGCTCAACTCTTGGCCTCGCGGAGACTGCCAAGAGGAGAAGAGGACAGTGCCAAATGTGGTAGCAGTCTTGATTTAGTTGTGGATCTTCTTACTGGTAACCAGAGTGGAACAACTCCTGTTTCACGTAACCCTGAGGATGCACACAGCTTAACTTGACTTTGGCAAGTTTAAGTCTTCACTTGATTTTGCCCACGTTTAAGCAATAGGTTTTTACTTTTACTCCAGTGCCATGCATATGACTTAGATATTTAATACGGTACAGCCAGTATTCTGCGTTAGTCTTGGTTTGTGGATGATTTGCTTTCCACCGTCACTTAATCACTTTCCCCCGTAGACAGGTGTATGCTGCACACCTGCTATGTATAGGGCACAGGGCATCAGAGCACTTGGGTTGTAACAAAGACAGACATGTTCCCACTTGGAGTTTATAATTTTTTTGGGGGGGGGGGAGGAGACAAGAACAGCATGAAACAACCATTTACTTTATTGCAGTTTTATTTTGTGCTGCAGAGGAGAAAGGATTAAGATTAGGGTTAAAGGAGAAAGGATTAAGATTAGGGTTAGGAGAGCATGTCACAGGAGGACTGATCGCCTTTAGGGAGTCGGAGGCAATGGGGAGAGGGAATTATGCCAAATAGAGCACATTCTTGTGAAGGCTCTGAGTCCGGAGGTAAGGATTTGAAAGGATGCCTGTGTGGCCTGAGCGTCCGGAGAGGGAGGATGGCCCTTAGAGCTTGTAAGGAGGTCAGACTTCTCTTTAGGACAGTGGAGAGTGAAATTAAGTTTGGATTTTTGAAAGATCTACCTTCTGCAGTGTAGGGAGTAGGGTTGGAGGGGTGGGCTGGGGGGGGGGGGGCAGTTAGGAAGCCATTGCAATAGTTCATGTAAAAATAACCATTATTAGTGCGTTTGGGAATTGGTGGTGATTGTAAAAGTTGAAATGAAGGGATCCAAGTAGCTTACAGCTGGTAAAGGAGCCAACTTATATTCAGATGAAAAGTTACTAAAACTTTGCTAATGTATAAGTCTTAGGTGGCAGTGTGTACAGTGAGTTCTTTTTCAGTTCTTTACAAGAATAATTGGCCATGCACTTACTATATTTAGAAAAAACAGCTGTTAGTTAAGCCACATGACTAAAAAGTAAACAAATTAAGGCCTGTAATTTCCTAAGAACATCTAAGTGCAGTACAGGTATAAATTGATTAATCTTGTCATCTTTTTAAAATAATGATAATAAAAACTAATATTTACAGAGTGCTTATTATTTGCCAGGCAGTGCTCTAAGATGTTTCCATGTGTTAATTTAATCCTCACAACAACCCTATGAAATAGACATTGTTGTTATTAACTCTGTTTTGCAGTTGAGGAAACTGAAGCACAGGGAGGTTACAGTAACTTGCTAAAGCTGGTAGATGGCAAAGCCAGAATTCAAAACAGTCAGCTTCAGAGACTGCGTTTTTAACCAAGAGGCAGCACTGCTTCTGTAAAGATGGGGCATGGGCAGGCGATGTATTCCTGAGTTTCCCGGGGAGAAACGGAGGCACACATTTAGCTCAGCGTTTCTCTTGTAGCCAGGCTCTGAGTTCCATGGGATCTTTAAGTAGCAGTTGGGATACCCAGCTCCTGCTGTGCAGCCCGCTAGGCCTCACTGCTGTAATCTGCCAAGTGGACATCACACGATAGATGCCCGATTCCTGCCTGTCAGACTCTTCCAATACCAGGGACCCAGAGCAGAAAAACTCCCTGTAGTTGCTGGCATTAGACCCACTGCTTGCTAAATAATCCACAGTTTAATACAAAACTTATTTGTATTTTTGCCTCTAATCATGTTTATGCTATAAAGATAACTTTTTTTTGTATTTTGCTGTTTTAGATTTTTCTTATTTATATAAATTGCATTGATTAGAGAGAAAGGCATCAGAGGGTTTGTTTTTAAAAGCCAATATATATAATTTACTCCTTAATTTGTCAGCATTTAGGTACCAAAAATGGATTAAGGAAATAAGTTAGAGACCTCATTATTTATAGTCATTCTTAGAAGATTGGTATTTTAAGGGATTTTTATTTTGAAAACTATCCTACTCCAGTGTAGTAAAATGCTTATTATAGTTCAGGTGGCATGGTTTAGTTAAAAAGCATTGAACTAGGAAGTGGAAGATCTGGAACTTATTAGCTATGTGGCCTTATAAAATCATTTAGCTTCTCAGGGCTGTTTTGTTGTGAAGGTATTACCATCATATATGCCCTTCTGTTTATGGTGTTAAATAAATGACTTGAATTTTAGTCAACAAATGAGGTTTTATTTTTTCTAGGTCCAAAAAATGCAAATATGTATTTCTTCTGTGCTGTCTTCAACTACATGGGATTATAGTTGTTGTTTTTATAAAGAAGTTATACTTGCCTTTAACTATGTCCTGTAACTGTGGGCTTTATCTGTCAGTTGAAATATCTGTAGCAAGGATTACCTAGGGTCCTAGGGTTGACAGCTAGAGAGAGTTCTGATTGGTCCTCAGGAGGCCCATGAAGGCCTCTGAAATTAATAGCATTAATGTTGTATGTATGTATGTTTTTCTGGAGAGATGACTTAATAGCATTCAGTACATTCTCAAAGAGGTCAGTGATCCCCAAAAGGAAAAAAAAAAATGAATGACCTGTAGGTTTGTCATTTGAAAGGGTTTTCTTGGAGAAATTAGGTAGTTTTTTTGTTTGTTGGTGTGTTTTTTTTTGTTTGTTGTTGTTGTTGTTGTTGTTGTTTTTTTACCAGATCACATTATCAACATTGATATGATTTTCACATGCATTATGCTATCTTTTCTCATGAAATTTTCCAGTTTAATTTGTATTATTCCTGCCCTAAGACTCTTTATGTCCTGATGTTCTTCTGCATTAGTGCTAGAGAGAAGCAGAAGATCCTAAAGCTGGAGGAAGGGCAAGGCAAAGGATGTTTTGAAGGACCAGCCTTCATGTGTTCCTCGGGAAGTATCTTACCTAGTTTCATGACCCCCGCCCAGTCCCTGTGAACGCCTCCTCGGTCTCAGCCGTGGGCTTTCTCCTGAGCTCCAGCCCATTGCCCCGCTAACCTCCTCCCAGACCACATCTTCCTCCAAGCGTGCGCCTCTCCTCACACCCCTTTTTGTCAGAGCCCCAAGGTTGACAATTCATTCATAAGTTTGAAGCCTTGGAATCATCTTTTACTTCCGAACTGGACTTCATGGGCGTTTTCCATAGTGTGGCTGGGATGCTCCAGGGAAAGCAGGACTGTGCGTTTAGTATTAAAGACAGGAGTCCTGTGGTCAGGAACCCAGCAAACTTCAAACTTACTTGACTAAGGGTTCTTTTTCTCTGCAGTGTTTATTGCGTGTCCTTGGAGCTAGTGCCTGGTAGAACATGCTTTAGAAATGTTGAAGTTTATTTTATCTATGTATGTTTGGAGGCCATTTCCTCTGAAGCAGAGGCTGCAATGTGGCTAAGCTCCAAAGTAGTATTCACATGGTAGTCTGTGTAAACAGACTTGGAGTCAGTATGAAAACTGACAGGAGAAAAATTGAAGATTGGGCAGTGAACCCAGGAAATTAATTTGTATGTTCAAGTATTTAGTGAATTATATAGTGGCTTATTTGTAACTGCATCTTTCCAGGTGTTATGATAATATCATCTAACACTAATTCTTAGATTAGTGTTTTAGAAGAACCTTTCAGGAAAACTTAGTTCTGAAACCTCACCTCTGATGAGGGACATGAAGACCTTAAGCATTTAGAAAAAGAAAAAGAAAACACGGTTATTTGGGGTTATGCTTATTTTTACTTCCATGGAGAACAAAGTCTAAAGGGTATCAGAGGAAATGTCCCTAAACTTTGGAAAGATTGCTTGAATATTTAAGGTAAATTAAGGTAGAATTTTTCAACATCAGTAGTTATTGGAGATGAAAAGTGATGATGGGACAGACTATGGGATAATTTCTCTACAGCATTTAAAAACACATACAACTAACCTCCAGGTTATGTGATTTTGATATGGATCTGATTCCCTGAAGGAATTACTTAACTCCCAAGATTTGATCTGTGTGTATATTTATATATATTAACTTATGAAAGAAAACCTAATGCATTATTTTGTATTGAGAATGAATAGTTGGTAGTTCTCTCTTGAGAGTACATTGAATAACCATACTACATT